AAATCTATCTCTAGCATTTTCTTTCTCTTTATTGTAACTTCTCTTTTCTACTTTGGATTCCTTTTTCATAGTTCCTCATAGCTTCAACTATAGATGATTACTTGAGGTCATGTCATTCTTTTAGATCCCATAAGGCGTATAGGGGGAGGGCTCGATAGAGTGGCGTCAAGGAGACTAGACTTAGAGTTTGTTCGTTGAATATATGCACATTAAATGTTAGGTTGCTGGAGCTGACAGACGTACTTAGTAATAGGAAAATAGATTTTGCATGTATTCAGGAGACTAGGTGAAAAGGGGCTCGCGCCAGAGAGTGTAATGGGTACAAGTTGTGGTATTCAGACGTAGATAACGCTAGAAATGGAGTGGGTATCTTGGTATCCTCTAGGCTCAAGGAAAATGTAGTTGAAGTTTGTAGATATCGGGATAGGATCATGATGATTAAGGTTATTATAGAAGCGGAAGTGGTGAATGTCCTTTCAGTGTACGCCCCACATGTTGGCCTAGGGGGAGGGGGAGAAACGTTGCTTCTGGGATCAGTTATGTAACACCCTTAACCCATATCCGACCTGAATATAGGTTCGAGACACTTAAAGAAAAAATGGGAAATTTTAAATTTTCATTAAAATCAAATACATTAATTTACATAAAAAAGACCACAAAATACAAAATCGATCAGAGCATTCGTAATTAACCACTTATTACATGCCAACACTCTATACACAACCAAAATACCTACTTTGTCAATTACTTCTGATATGATCTTTTAGTAGTGATGTTGTCCTTGCCGCCTCTATTACTGCTCCTCTTGATTCTTGGTACCTACGTGTAAATCACTTACACACTAAGTCATAGGCTTAGTGAGACATAATATAAATATATATATATATATATATATAACAATACATTCATGAACATGCATTCTTACCATCTGATCATGACATCTTTATTTGTATGCATCTATTTCACTATAACATATATGACGGTAACCTGCACATGTAAAATATATATTCTTATGCTAATTCCACTTTAACTTATCTTTGAATTGCCCATGTATATTATGGAGAACAAAGGTATGTGAGTACATAGAGGTTGTGCACTATGCTGTCACCATAGATCGTATAATTCCCTCAAGGGGCAGTGAATATTTGTCCCGAAGGACCACTATGTCCCGAAGGACCACTGATTGTTCCAAAGAACCACTATGTCCCGAAGGACCACTGATAATCCCTCGACTCTTGGCATGTCAATTATACCTATAGCTCTCATATTAAATAACATGGGCTTAATTATAAATATATTTCTCATTTCATATCTCTTTCATCACTGTCCATGTGAACACATAAGTCACTTCATATGATCATTTTCATTATTTCATATATCTGGAAGAATTCTCTGATAATGACATTCATTCATATATTACCATGTTAATCATGAATGAAAAATGCATGAAATCACTATAACGTTAACACATATATATGTATGCATGTGCATGAATATAAAATCATAAATTCAATGATAAGAGATAGACTTATCGCAAGTATTGTCTCAATTCCATTTCATCTAGGATATGCACTCACCTTGGCCTTGCTTATTTTGACTTGATCCTAATCCTTTGTTTGTTACGGAACGAAATTACGTTTTATATCTACATAGTAATACAATGATACTAATCAGTATACTAATTAATATATTCTAAACTATCACTCCTTAGGCTAAAAATAAAGTTATTTTCATCTTTTAATGAAGGTATGTATCGATGCACTACACCATGTATCGATGCATCCCTTGACGGGTGCATCGATACATAAATCCTATTCGATGTTTGTATTTTAAGGGGGTGCATCGATGCACTACTTGTGCATCGATACACTAATGACATTCGATGTTTTTATTTTAAAGGAGTGCATTGATACACCTCATGTGCATCGATACACCTTGAACAATTTATGGGATTTTACCCTTGATACATCGGTACACATTGAATGTACATCGATGCACACAACCCAGAAATGTTATTTTAGCACGAAAATCTCTTCATAATCCTCTCAACACTTTATATTTCCCATCTTTTTATCTCCTTAACTTGCATACATCTACTTAAACTAATTAATACCCATTCAATATCTCTTATACTTAAACATTCAATCCTCCACATAGATTTCAAGAATCTCCCTCAAATTCCAACATGTTCTAAATCTAATTCTAACATTTCGTATGTCTTAATTAAGTCGATAACAATTCAAATTCAACCTCCGATTCCAAATATGAACTCTTTTTCAAAATTCCATTCAAGCACTCCTATTCTTTAATTCTTCCTACACTCTTTATCTTGTTGTTTTAAAGCAAATTAAGTTTTTCTTAAGCTTAATTAACATCTAAAGAGAAAAACCAAACTTAAATTTCAACAAACAATTAGCTTATGAAAAATCTCACATTTGCTATAAGTCTTCACGTTTGAGAGAAAATAAGAGAAGAAGAGAACTCTGGAACCTTGATTTTTCTTTCTTCTCTTCCACGTGGAGCTAATATATATAAATCCCTTATTTAATTATTTTCCTTGCAAAAGACCATTCTATCCTTCTATTCTTTCTTCTTTATAATTTGATCCTACACAACATTTCATATAAGTCCTTGCACTAATCAATTATTATACTTTAAATCACCAAATTCTGAAACTTTACAATTTAGTCACTAACCCGGTCTTGAGGATGTTACAAGTTAGATGATGTACTTAGGAGCATTCCGGGGGACCAAAGAGTTTTCATAGGGGGAGACTTCAATGGCCATATAGGTAGTGCAACTGACAAGTATGACGGCGTTCATGGGGGTTTCGGTTTTGGTAGTAGGAACGAGGAGGGGCGTAAGTTGCTTGAATTTGCTACTGCACACGATATGGTGGTCACTAACTCCTTCTTTAACAAGATAGATGTTAACTTGATTACATTCCATAGCGGTGGACATTGTACCCAAATCGACTACATCATGGTTCGAAGTCAGGATCGATAGGCTTGCATTGACTGTAATGTGTTCTCTGAAGAGACATGTGCATCACAACACAAATTGTTGGTTTTGGTGTTCTGCGTACGTCACGGGCGGAGCACTCATAGGAGGGCTAAACTTGATAAACCTAAGATCCTTTGGAAGAACTTACATGGAGTGACAACTGATGACTTTAGGAGTAAGGTTTTGTCTAATACATGTTTTGGAACTACAAACTCAAATAATGCAAATATGTTATGGAAAATTATGGCAAATTTCATCAAAGAGGTGGGAAAAAACACCCTTGGGTTGTCGATAGGGAAGGTCTAGGAACATAAAGAATCATGGTAGTGGAACGACGAAGTCCAAACTAAGGTGAAGACAAAGCAAACTTGCTTCAAGGAGTTTCTACAATGCAATGATGACGAAGAAAGATCGAGTGCTAAACAAAGATACAAGGAGACAAAGCGGGAAGCCAAGAAAACAGTGGCTAAAGCAAAGGATAAGGCATACGAGGAAATGTACAAGAGATTAGTTACCAAGGAAGGATAAAACGACATTTTCAGGCTTGCAAAATCCAGGAAAAATAGGAAAAATGATCTAGGTAGCATTAGGTTTATTAAGGACAACAATGGTGTTCTTTTATTGAATGATCATGATATTAAAAGGGTTTGGGGTAGTTACTATTTTTTGCTTATTTAATGATGGTGCCTCTCCCTGTAGAGATAGTATCGTTGATGGGTCAGCCGACCATCATATTACGACCAATGACTACCCTACAAGTAGGATTGGGTTCAAGGAAGTCAAAATGTCTTAGAAAGATGGGGAGGGACAAAACTGTCGGTCCAGGTCAAATTCCTATCACTGTGTGGTTGGCCTTAGGAGAAGAGGGAGTTAAGTGGTTGACCAACATCTTTAATATTATTTTAGAGACTGCCAAGATGCCAGAGGAGTGGAGAGAGTCTACGGTGATACCAATCTATAAGAATAAAGGAGATCCCCAACATTGTGGCAACTACATAGGTATTAAACTACTCAGTCATACCATGAAGCTATGGGAAAGGGTGATAGAGGCTAGGTTGAGACAGATTACTAGGGTTTCAAAAAACCAAATTGGATTTATGCCAAACAGGTCTACTACGGAGGTGATTCATCTACTTCGACGGCTTATGGAGAAATATAGGGGGAAATAGAGATCTTCACATGGCGTTCATTGACCTTGAGAAGGCGTATGATACTGTTCCCCGTGATACAATTTGGAAGACCTTGGAAACAAGACGGATCCCAACTGCTTATATCCAGGCGATTCGTGATATGTACTGTAGATCTACTACATACGTCAGGACTACAGTTGGAGAGACCGAGGCATTCCCGGTGGAAATCAGACTCCACCAGGGGTCAGATCTTATCCCTTACATCTTCGCCTTGATTATGGACGACATCTATTGTGCGACACCTGACGGTGTTCCATGGTGTATGCTTTTCGCTGATGACATTGTCCTAGTTGCTGAAACAAAAACTGAGTTGAATAGTAAACTGGCTACCTGGAATACTGCTTTGGAAGAAAAAAGTCTAAGGATCAATATTGAAAAGACAGAGTATTTATGTTCAAACTTCAGTGGGAACCAAAACGATGAAGATGTAGAAGTATGCATAGAGGGACACGTCCTACCCTCAAAGGATTGTTTCAAGTTCCTAGGGTCTATGATACATAAAGACGGGGTATAGATGATGACGTTACACACCGTATAAAGGCGGGATGGCTAAAGTAGAGGGCTGCTACTGGAGTTTTGTGTGACAAAAAGGTACCTCTAAAACTTAAGGGAAAATTTTATAGAATGGAAATAAGACCAGCGTTGCTGTATGGATCAAAATGTTGGGCAATCAAGAAGGATCACGTAAGGAGGATGGAGGCCGCAGAAATGAGAATGCTTCGATGGGCATGTGGTAGGACTCTGTGGGACATGACACCAAACTCTGCTATTTAAAAAGATAGAAACGTAAGATCCGACTAAATTTAGTCGGAGCCTTACTGTGACCTCTTAATCTTCTAGCATCCCATCTGTTGTTTCCATTCAAAACCAAAAATAATAAGTTTCTAATAAACCATTAAACAGAATCACTAATCAGCATTAATTTTCTTTTGCTTTTGGAGATTACCTTCTAACTGCATCAGTGAGGATGTTGAGCTCTTCTAGAGAACCTTCCATGTCAAAAAAGTCATCAGCAACTGTGATCAATATGGCAATTTTTGCTACCACCGTTCGAATATCGGAGTCAAGGCAGGGAAACGCTGGCAGATATGGCAAAGTAGCAATACATAGTTTTCTCTCGACCAAATCCCATATCACTAATTTTAAGGCACCAACTATTGCAATGAAACGAACAAGTGTGCCATTTAGAAAACAGACCCGTAATTAGCATAATGTTGAAGAAGGCTTCAGTTTCCTTACCTTTTCAATTCAGCCATTTCTTTCTTGTGAATTGACTGCCTATACTTATAATCTGCCACAGCAAGTTGCACGAACTTTTCATTTTTAGCGCTTGATAACCTGCTTCCAAAGAATTAATTTAATGTTATACGGATAAATGAATATTATAGCACGTGAGAGAATAAGTAAGAAATTCTTTTGAAAATATAATCTTATTATTATTTTAATTTATGATTATATAATATTTTAGATATATAACATTAAATTATCAACTTTCACTTGAAAGTTCAGCAAAAGCTTTTAGTCCTCGTACCTATGAAAAGAGGTCTTTCCAGGCCACAAAGCAATCATTTCATTCTCTTCAATCCACGCTCTATTTTCCAAGTGATCCAGGCGCGCCACCCATGGAAGGCTCAGCTCGTGCTTGATCTAATTGAGCCAAAAGATTACAAATATTATGTAATTGCCTCTGTGCCACATAGTTCAATTATAATTTCATTATAACAGCTGGTAATAAAATTGAATACCATTTTGTAAAAGGGTCATTATCTGATCCAGTTCCCTTACTTCCAACTTTCTCCAACACTTTCCTAGAAGATGATCTTGCTTCTTCAAGTTCATATTCTCCGGGAAATATGAGATCCGTGGCTCTATAAACATTAAGCATTACGCTATAGAAAAGATCGTGATTTTTTTCAATATGATCTAGAATTTCATGATCATTCAAGAACCGGGTGAATTCACGAGATAATGTTCTCGAATTTTTTTTTTCACGATATGGTGCACATCCTAGATTAATTGCTGGAATGGGGTGAATTCAACAGTGATTGCCATAGGACGCCATGCAATCCAGGCGACCTTGGAGGACGCCATGCAATCCAGGCGACATACGGGGTGACATACGAGGGTGACATACGAGCCATATACGAGTCATACGAGCCAATGGGGAGGATGCAACGAGCCATACGAGCCAATGGGGAGCATGCAGGAATAGAGAGCCAATGGGGAGCATGCAACGAGCCATATACGAGCCATGGGGAGCATGCAACGAGCCATATACGAGCCAATGGGGAGCATGCAGGAATAGAGAGCCAATGGGGAGCATGCAACGAGCCATATACGAGCCATACGAGCCAATGGGAGCATGCAGGAATAGAGAGGTCGCCATGCAGCCTAGGCGACCTTGTAGGTCGCCATGTAGTCTCGGCGACCTTGTAGGTCGCCATGTAGTCCCGGCGACCTTGTAGGTCGCCATGTAGTCCCGGCGCCATTCCCATCATCCATGCACATGCACAGCCACATAGATTCCTTCACGTGCTCCCCGCTGCATGCCTACACCTCCCAATTCACGTGCTCCCCGCTGCATGCCTACACCTCCCAATGCATGCATGTGAACCATTTGAGGCATGTGAACCATTTGATTATTGGTACAATAATTGAACGCGTGAAATCAGCTGATGATATCATAGCTGCAATTGTACAATTGGTGAAATAATTGAGGCCTCAGCCGGTTATAAAAGAAAGAAAGAAAGGGAGAAGAGATTGCAGAAGAAAGGGAGAAGAGATTGCAGCCGAGAAAGAAAGAAAGAAAGGGAGAAAGGAAAGAAAGAAAGGGAGAAAGGAAAGTAAGAAGAAGAAAGGGAGATAAGGTAAATTTTTTTATATTTAAATTAGTTTATTATTATAAATGTTTAATTTGTTAGTTTAGGGTTTAGGGTTAAACAAAAAGCAGTTAATTAGTTTGTTAGTTTAGGGTTATATGATTGTTAGTTTAAGTTATAGTATACATAAATTAAAAATTATTTAATTAGTATATGTTTGATAGTTATATAGTTAAAAAATAATTAATTAGTTTGTATTGTTAATAGTTAGTTATATAAAAAAATTATTTAATTAGTTTGTGTTAGTTAAATAGTTAAGTTATATTTGTTTGTTGAATTTATTATATAAAAATTAGTTAGTAAGTTTATTAGTAGTATATATAATGAAAAAATAGTTTATTAGTTAGTTTTAGTTATATAAAAGAATATTTATTAGTTGTTTAAGGGTTTAGCGTTTACGTTTAACTTATATTTTAAAAGTTTAGTTTGTTAGTTTATTAGTTTATTATATTATAAGTTATTATATTAAAGTTTAGTGTTGTAAATTAGTTAGTTAGTTTATTTAGATTATATTAAATGATTTTTTAAATATTGTTGTTTAATTTTTTTTACAGATTCATTCTAATGGCTGACCAAATTCCACTGTTGAGGCTTGACAATGAACATATTTCAAGTCATTTGGGAATAATGGTGAATAAAATATTTGTTTAATGAATTATAATTAATAAATATTTGAATATTATTTTATGATTGTGATAATTTTTTTGAAATATTTAATTGTAGGAGGACGAGCAGCGAGTCCTTCGTCTTCGACTACATAAAGTGCCCAAGCCACACCCACTAATAGAAGAAATTTGCAAGAGGCTGGATTTTGGTATATAACATTTGTGCGAGATTACAAGTTGGTCCCAGGTTTGATCAGTGCGTTGATTGAACGTTGGAGACCAGAAACGCACACGTTTCATTTGCCGTGTGGCGAATGCACGATAACTTTGGAGGATGTGGCAATGCAACTCGGGTCCAAACTAATGGGATGCCGGTGGTAATGTCACATGAGTTTAATAAGGTGGAACAACTTTGCAACTTGTTTCTTGGGAAAGCGCCCGTACCACCAGAGTGTAAAGGGTGGCGGGTGAGGTTGTCATGGTTGAAGAATGAATTTCAACTTCAATCAAATAGTACGGAGCACGAAATTATATATGCAACACGAGCATATATATTACAATTGATTGGGGGAATTTTGATGCCTGATAAATCCGGTAGTTATGTTCACACTCAGTATCTTCTTTTTTAACAAATTTTGAGAATTGTAGGCAATATAGCTGGGGTTCGGCGATATTGGCGTTCTTGTATCGTGAGATGTGCAAGGCGTCATTAGTCGTGAATGATAATAATACAGTAGAAATCGGTGGATGTCTGTTGCTGCTACAATCATGGGCTTGGCATAGACTTCCGTTTTTGACACCGATTAGTCGGACTGCGGTTGACTTTCCACTTGCCGGAAGGTAATATGAATCCTCTATTTTAATATAAAATATTAATTAAAAAATATTTATTTTGATTAAAATTATTGAACAAAATGTCTCTATTTTTGTTTTGATTGATATACAGATGGAGGCATAAAATTGAAGGCACAGGGTTGGTGCACAACAACATTAAAGAGTTCAGGTTGAAGATCGACATTAAGGCCAAAAAGGAGGTATGCATAATTTGTATTTTTTTTAATTATTATTTAAATTAACTATATTATTTGATTTAAATAATTTTATTGTTTTTGTAATTTTACAGTTTAATTGGAGACCATACATGAATGAAGAATTATTTGCGTTGATACCGCACGATATTTTAGATGGGTTTCAATATTGGTGTGCTGTTACACCATTGATCAATTTTGCTTTTGTTTAGATCCAATTTGGGGATAGAGTGTTGAGGCAATTCCACTTCCACCAACCTATTCCGCGGAGTCCATGGGCTCATGACCTCCTCCAAAACTTAGATGGTCGTCGTCCAGTGAATTGGGTTGAGACGCATGACGACCTGCACAGATTTGATGGTCGTCGTAAAGAAAGCGTTAATTGGGTTGAGAAGCATGTAACCTACATTAATGCTTGGAACAATAGGGCTTCATTCATGCCAACTCTTGACGCCATTCAAGACGACGACTTTAATTTTGAGACTTCGGCTTACCTTGCTTATTTTTTGGATAATGGAAAGTCGTTCCTCACAACAATAGTAGAGAGGCGACAATTTTTGAGGTTTAAGAAAAGATTTGGTAAAGCTGAATACTCTCTACTGAGTGGGAGTGGGAGTTCATCTCTACAAACTGAAGCGGAAATGACCGATGTGGATAATAGCGCACCACAATCGTTGCATCACGCAGTTGATGATTCTACTGGCCCGGCATACATACCAGAGTTTGTGCAACCTGAGGCACCCATCTATTCTCCTACGTTTTCGTCGACGTATGACTTTGAACACATGACAGTTCAAATACCCCTAATGAATGAGGGGGATGGGTACAATACTCCTGAGCCACAACGGCCACAACGTATCAGACGTCCGCCCCGACATTATCATTCAACAACACCCCGACATCGACAACAATTGTAAACTCGTTTGCTATTTATTACAAATTATTTATTGAAATTAGACTACTTTTTTTAACCTTAACAATGATTTTTAGTATCAAATCATTACTAGTATCAAATAATTAAATATTTAGTAAATCAACTATTTTAAATCATTAATAAATTCGACTATGTATAAATTTAAACTCAGTAATCCACACTTGTACACTCATTTGTTAGTATTAAATCATTATTATAAATCATTATTATAAATAATTACTAAATAATAACTAAATAATTATTATAAAATCATTATTATAATGATTATTATCAAATCATTACTAAATCATCAAATCATTAAATATTTAAATCATTATTAAATCATTTTTATAATGATTATTACTAATTATTATTATAATGATTATTATCAAATCATTACTATAATGATTATTATCAAATCATTACTAAATCATCAAATCATTAAATATTTAAATCATTATTAAATCATTTTTATAATGATTATTACTAAATCATTATTATAATGATTATTATCAAATCATTACTATAATGATTATTATCAAATCATTACTAAATCATCAAATCATTAAATATTTAAATCATTATTAAATCATTTTTATAATGATTAATAATACATAGAAATACATATATGATTACTAATGATGAGGCCTATATCTGGTAAATTAGGACAATTGTTTTTGAATGGCCTTCACCCCTACATAATCCGCATCTCTTTGCTTGACCTCTCTCTATAGCATGAAAATCCATACTGGTATGAATTCGAGTGGACTCAGGTCGACCCTTTGGACTTCTGCGAAGCATTGGATTTGGTAGCCATTCATCATGATCCTTTTTGGGCCAATATGATTCATTCGGGATCTGTCTGAACACATAGCTGTAGACATTTAATATCCTACGTAGGTGGAAGCATTCATCAACATAAGTGTATGCGCTTACACCAGCATACATACATGCAGCGACTGCATGAGCACATGGATATTTCCATGCCTGAAAACGACCACAATCACACCATTTGTGTCGTAAATCAACTCTAAATGTTTGGTCTTCTCCTCCGACGTTACGACGTATGCACGACACGACAAAAGTATGAACAACTCGGTCGAAATTATGAACAACCATTGATGTTGCCAATCGCTCATTTGCTTCCATTGATTCCACCACTGTAGGAGCCCAAGTTTTACCTCTATTTATGAGACTCTCAATTTCCTTGCCTTTGTCCGACCAAACTTTACCCAGTCTAAAGTACGTCTCTTTCACCACACTCGCTATTGGGAGATGGCGTGTACCTTTTAGTACCGAATTAATGGCCTCAACAAGGTTTGTGGTCATATGTCTATATCTCCGACCTTCATCGTATGCTTGCGACCATTTTTCCCGCGGTATTTTTGAAGCCCACTTCCAAACACGCTGATCATCGTAAAATACCTTCAAATTCTCCAATCTCTTGTCAAAATTTGGTCGACGTAGTTCGTATCCTGTTCCATAATATATTGTGTTAAACCGCTCTTAAAAAAACCACGTAAAAAATACACAAATATTGAAAATAAAACTTACCCATGCTGACTATCTCGCTACGAATATGTGCGTTATGAAACTGGTCGATACTATTCTTGCCAATATGACGGATACAAAATGTCGGATATGCATACGGAGGTATCCAACGACTTCCTGGTCGTTCAATTGCCGCCAAAATACCCGTTCCTCTATCGGATATCAAGCAAACTCCATCTTCACGAACGACATATTGACGTAGATTGGTCAGAAAGAAATCCCAAGCCTCTGTTGTCTCTCCCTCAACAATGGCGAATGCAATTGGGAAGATATTTCGCTCACCATCTTGAGCAACTGCCATCAAAAGTACATGCCTATATTGACCATACAACCACGTACCATCTACTTGGATCATACGTTTGCAAAATGGAAATCCTTCAATACATGCCTTGAATGCCCAAAATAGTCTATGAAATATTTCTTCCCTGGCAGAAGTTGACCTTCTTCGTCATATGCGGGCATGGTTTGAGACTTCACTATAGTTCCTGGGATAAATCGCTTCATTGCTTGTAGCAAATGTGGTAGCTCATTGTACGATGTATCCCAATCTCCATACGTCAACTTCATTGCCTTCATTTTCGCATTCCACACCTTGCCATATTTTACTTGATATCCAAATTGGCTTCGAATAGATGCAGCTAACACTGAACAAGATATCCTTGGATCCTTTTCAACCATCGCCTTCACGTATTCACATATTACATCGGAGTCCAATAGTCGGTGGTCTTGTTCGATGGAGTTTCGCAAACATGTGTGCGAACCATTGTACCTCGTGATGACCCAAACATCGTGCCTTTGATTTTTCGACACTCTGATCTTCCACTTGCACTCTGGGCCATATTTTACACACTTTGCGTATAGGGTTTTCTGGTTGGACTCTGCAACATGGACATCAACATGGCATTTGATGCAGTACTCTTTAATCGCCAGCGTAGCTTCATTTTTTCCTCTGAATTGCACCCCAACTGAAAATTCACCAGAATTATCGAATGATTCAGTCATTTGGTACGGAGGTAAATGTGGCATGTCTGGGAATTCAGGTGCCCTCATTGCATCATAATCTATCTCGTACATGTGAGGAGTAGCTTCATACGGTGTCGGAACTTCATCAATTGCACCTCCACCAAAAATATTTTCGTCGCCGCCCAAAACGGGTTCTTCAGTTTCTTCATCTTCGCTTGAATCATCATGAATTTCTCCCCATCGATTTTCAGCGTCATTATCAACAACCAATTCCGGTATGTTTCTCGTCTCATACTCTGCTGCTGTAGATGTCCCCCCGACTTCATTTACACTTTCCAATAGTGCCATAAAACTGTTCGGGAACCTGTATGTCGGCTCCTCAAACTGACTATATAAAGCCATTTCAGATGGATTTTGAGCCACACCTCTTGATGACCCAGCAACATCACATATGTTACGCACATCAACAAATAATTCAATAACTGCTATATTGGTTGACTCATGTAATCCAACCATGGTTCCAATATCATCATCCTCTTCAAGTGGAACTGGAGCATATCTGACTGGGTTAGAGCATATCATAAACCTATACCTCAAACCATCAACTGCAGCTCGAATTTTTCTTTCTATCTTATGCTTCATTTCTATAAATGTGATGTCTTTTTTGAACATCATATTTATTGGTTTTTCAGACTGAAAAACTACTCCGACCTCATTTTCCATAATCTGTCCATTATAATGGACAATCGTGAAAAAGTTGCTGCTCATTTTCTCTACAAATAAAAAAAATTAATTTAGATTAAAAAATTAGATAAGATAATTTCATAAATTATTAAATATAATATAATATACTATTATATTAATGATCAAATAAAATTTATTATTTAACTTGATTGATTGCTTACTAATAAACCTAATAATGATTTGATAATTACTATTAATCTAATGATTTGATATTAATGATTAATAATAATATGATTTAGTCATAATCACTAATAATTATTTATTATAAATATTTAATGATTTTGATTTGATACTAATCATTTAGTAATTATTACTAATAATAATGATTAGTTTGATAATATTTTTTATTTTTTAAAAATATCAAACAAATTTGTTAGGCAAAACTGTCGATATACTGTTCTCGAAATAATTATTTCGCGAGATAATGCGTTGTCCGGATTATTTCATTCAATTAATTTTTACTTCTTACTAATATACACATACAATGTAAATTAAACAAATTATTTTTAAAACAACACTAAATATTTTTAAACACAATATTTTTTAAAACGGAAATTATCTCGCACAAATTAGTTTATATAATCTAATATAAACTTACTAACTAACTAATTTACACATACACAACAACAAAAAATGGACAACAAAAAATAATAAATTACTCACGTCTTTATGCCTTCTTCCTTTACTTTTTTTTTTCCTGCCTTGTTTCTTTCTTCGAATCAATCTGTACGTGGGCAAATATTGTGAAATAATGTCATGTATGTGTAAACAAAATATTTATTTAAACAACAATAGCTCCCACAAATTAATTTTATATAATCTAATATATTATAATACCTTAAACTAATAAACTATTTCTTTATTATAATATAACTTAGTTAAAATAACAAACTAATTAAGCACTAATTAATTTTTTTATAATATAACTTCAACTTCAACGAACAACCTAATATACGTTTAAAGACACTAACAAATTAATTAATATTTTTTATATTTAATAACTTAAACTAAGAAACTAATTAACTAATTTTTTATATAATATAATATATAACTTAAACTAATAAACTAATATAATATAACTTAAACTAACAAACTAATAATTTATACTAACAAACTAATTAACTAGATTTTTAATTTTACCCTAAACCCGAAACTAACAAACTAATAATTTCATATAATAAACTAAATTAAACAATAAAAAAATTACCTCACGAAATCTTCTTTTCTTCTTCTTCCTTTTCTTTCTCTCGGCAAAGTTTATATGTGCCGGTTCTGCTTGTGCTTCTACCCTAAACACCATATCCTTTATATAAAGCAACTGAGCGTTGGACAGAATCATTAAATTTGATTGTTGAAGCAAATAATATTAGCATTGTCGTCTAACTATTGAGCATTGAAAGGCTGACAGCTAAATTAACGCTGCAATAACACATACAGCTACGGGTGCAGGAATCTCAGCTATGATGCAACGCATGCATGCAGCTACAGCAGCTACAGACCAGACCTTGGTCGCCGAGACTCCATGGCGACCTACCGACCACGCCGCCGTGACCTACACCGTTCGACGTGCATGGCCATGCACAGTTCCCACGTCCCATGCACAGCATGCATCCCCTCCCCCATGCATTCCCACGGCCCATGATTTTTGCAAAATACGCACAGGGCGCCATGCAATCCACCTTGGAGGTCGCCCGGATTGCATGGCGACCTCCAAGGTCGCCTGGATTGCATGGCGACCTCCAAGGTCGCCTGGATTGCATGGCGTCCTATGGCGATCACTGTCGAATTCACCACATTCCAGCAATTAATCTGGGATGTGCACCATATCGTGAAAAAAAAAATTCGAGAACATTATCTCGTGAATTCACCCTTCAAGAACCAACACAAGCTCCATGCATATGAAAAAAAATACATTGATTTAGAGTTTGAAAAACCACAAGTGCATGCCAATATATCGCATAAAAATTGTTTAAAATCTAATCCTTACATGGGGATACGTTATAACCATGCATGCGAAGGAGTCGAAATGCCAAAGAATCTTTCTATAGCTGGGTTGCAACTGAAGTAACACTAAAGCTTTTTTCTGACGGTGAATATTCCTTTTCATAATTCCTGTCAATTATAATCATTTGTAAAAAAAAATTAAATACGTGTGTCGGAATGAAATAAATCAAGTCGTGCATCAACTTTTAAGCTATTACTTATAAACTTGGGTCAATATCTCTTCAATCTGCCAGATAAAATGTTCAGCCAACCCCAACCTTTGCAGTTGATTAGCCAAACCAAGGTTTACTAGCTCTTCATCCGTTGGATATGTCGGTGGAACTACAAAAAAGAGAGAGTATATGAATGGTTAGAATCTAAGCGTAGCATGATCGGTAAAATTAATATTAAAAATATAGAAAAATAAAATATAGCGCGTGGTGCTAAAATATGTTGTATTCCTAAATAGAGAATTCATTGACATTGACATTGACATTGACATTGACATTGACATTGTCATTGTCATAAGAGATAATCAATCCCGGACCCAAAACATATATAAAATAATCAATTTACCTCCATTATTGGAACATGTTTCAACTAGGAATTGTAAGTAAGCTAAGCAGTCTTTATTGCCAGTAGCCATGAATGCACGTGCTGTCGCAGAAGGGGATTGGAATAACGAACCGTCAGTTTTTAAGTTTACGCTTATCTCTTCTTCATTGATGGCATAAAATGAAGGCATCGCTTCGAGGTATGATAATAATGGAGGATATGGACCACCGTCCGTTTTACTATATACCAACATGAAAAAACAGGAAATATATATAATTGATGAATTTTGCAGTTAATTTATGATGCTCATCAATCAGTCGATTTAGGTATTTGAAATTACTTTTGGAGGATTCGATGTCGTTCAATGAATACATCCATCACCAACTGTTGCGAATGGTCGGGGAAGTCAAGGTCTAGGCCAGTTTTACGAGCAAGTTCAATCATTCCGGGGAAAACAATGGCAAACCAACGAGGAAACTGACGTCGGTATCCTCCTAGGAGCTTCTCTGCGTTTGCTCGTATAAACGCCAACCCTGAGACACACACACATCATAGTAAATGGTAATTCAGAGCAAGTATATGCATCACTTTCCAACGTAATAAGATTTGATACATCATACATATATACTTATGTATACATTTACTTATATATTATACTTTACAATTATATATATATACTTATATTATATACTTATAAGTATAATTTATAGTTATATATATATATGTATGATTTAAACTTACAATTTGCTGAAGAAAACATGTGATATCTATTCCTTTCTGATGCTGAACTTTAGCTACAATTTCCGTGACGAGATCATCAAGGGCATTAAAGATGGTCTTACTGTGACCACTCAATCCGTTAGCATCCCATCTGCAATGCGTTTCAATTGCATGTCAGTGGATTGAAAATTAGCCTGTTAGTTCTGTGACTGAAACTTACCTTGCAATTGCAGCGGTGAGGCTGTTCAGTTCATCGAAAGAAGCTTCAGTATCATAAAAGTCGTCGGCAACGCTTATCATAGCGGTACTTTTTGTTATTATCATCCTAACTTCAGAGTCATACGGCAACGGGTTGCTTGAAGCAATGGCAAAGTAACAGTACGTAGTTCTATCTCGGCCAAATCCAATGTCGCTCATACCCCTGCTCTTGGACCACCTGTATATATAATTTATACAGAGTTATTTGGCTGGTTATTTTTTCCCTATAAAATTAAGATTGAATACTAAATCTTTTATTCTGACGATGATGATATATTGATGTGCTAAAAAAAAGATGATATAAAAGAAGATGCACCGTGCCACTTCCTCCAACTCATTCCTGTATATTGACTATCAAAACTCGTACTCTGCCACGGCAAGTTGCACTAGCTTCTCATTCAACAGGGTTGACAACATGCTTTTAAAACAGAAGCATTTCGAAAGTTTGGTGATTAAATTAGAAAAATTGAAAATATATTGAGTAAAATAGAAAACAGTATAGTTCAGTGGGGAATGTGTAATTTACCCATTTATTATTTATCCTATTTTAACTTTTTTTCTATCATGAAATTACATTTTTTAAATATTTAATTTTGACACATCATAACACAATTAAAAACTTAACAATTAAGTGACAAAAAAACTCAATGTATAAAGTTTAGTGAGTAAGGGTATGTTTGTTTCACGTAATACATTTTCAGTGGAGGAAAACTGGTTGGTCAATATAAAACATTTTTCTGGTTAATAGAATTTCCTTTGCATTTTTTGGAAAATGACTTACGGTCTGATTTTCTGTAAATCATTTCTCGAACTTTTCACTTCAAAAAATAAATACTCAAAATAATTTTATTTTGTGTATTTAATATTAATATAATATTTTAATATAATTTTAATTTAAATGATATTAAAATATTTTTAATAATATAATATACTCAATTATATTATAATAATATAAGATATTATATTTTTATTTCAATAATATATAATAAATTAATAATAATGAATAATATTATTTATATATTTAATATTAATATAATAATCTAATAATATTTTAATAAATATGTTTAAAATATATTAATTAATAATTTTCAAAATATAATATAATACTCTTTAATAAATAATTAATATAATTCATAATATTTTTATTTCAATAGAATGTTCTAATCTTAATATTTTATTTATAAAATTATAAAAATATTTTTTAATAGTAATGAATAAATTATTCTAATATTTTTAAAAATAATAATAATTTTTTATAATAAAATACATTATTAATTGAGTTTAATATTTATAATAAATAATTTCTAAAAACTTCATCTACTAGTGGAGAATGGTTTACTCAGTCTCTTTCAAACACGGTAAAACATTTTCAAAAAATATAAGTCATTTTACGAAAAAATATTTTTCGAAAAATGTTTTCAGTGAAACAAATTGACATTAAGATAAAATAAAATTTGAATGTATAGTGTGTGTAATAAGAAAACCAGCAAAGTTCATTTACCAAGCGTATAATTTACCCTTGTTTTTTCTTTTAGTTGAGTGCAGAGTCACGAAAGAGGATGGCATCAAATCGAAGACATGAAAGATTTTTTTATTATTAAAATTATTTAATTAGTATTATAAATTTATCATCGTGGATTTTAGGGTAAAGTATATAAGTGGTAATTTAATTATAGAATATTATTTTGTTGAGTCTTTTAATTATTAAAAATTAAAAAATGATCTCTCGATTGTTGGGTGTTGCTTTGTTAAATTTCTGGATTATTAAAAGTTACAAAACGATCATTCAACTATTTATTATGTTTCAAACTTTTCATTATTTATTAAATAATTGACGATAATATGAGATGAACGTTAACATGTTTACTAGAATATAATAAAATATAATCTTACAAACTCTAATGACAATCATATATTAGTTAGTATGTTAATCTTCAACTCAGACGATTGTCAAATTTTTAACGAAAAATTATGAATTTAAAACTTAATAAACCATTTTATAACTTTTAATAGTCGATAAACTTAATAAAATAACATCTCATAATTAAATAACTCTTTTTTAAATTTTAATACTTAAAAGAATTAATCAAACAATACCCCACAGATAAAAACCATTTACGTACTTCACTCAAAAGATAGATTTTATATGATTTTGTGTTAATATTATATCTATCGCCAAACAAAGTCAGTCATCTCACTGACTTTCAGGTTTTAGTCACCGGCAGAGGTCCCACTTTAACATAACACGTAGCAGCCCCGTTCAGGTGTGACATCAGCCCTCGTAGTGGGGCAGTACGTTTATGTGGCTCATAGTTTCGGAAACTGCCAAATCACACGGAAAAGTATGCGTGCTTGGATAGACATGGATGAGACAATTGAAGTGGTCCAATTCATACGGCACGAAAATCAATGCAACGACCAATTAAAATTTTTGGTGGAGTATATAAATGATTTATTTAGGACAAGAGGGGCATGTCCCCCCTAAAATATTAAAAAATAATATATGTAATTATTTATTTTTATTTTTATAATAAAAATATATAATAAATTATTAAGTTTGGTTGTTCCAAAAAATATGTAAATTATTTTAAAATTTAATATCTACTTAAATATCATTTATTAAAAGAGTTTATATCTATTTTAGTATTATTATTTTATTTTTAAATAAATAAAAATATATTTTTTGTTATTTTTATTTTAAGATACAAAACAAATATTTTTATTTTTTATGTTTTGGTTCTACATCTCATTTGAGTTGAGAACTTCAATAAAATTATCAAGTATTTTATTTCATTTGAAGGTAATTTTTTTTAAAATATTTTCAATTCAATTAATATTTATAATTTTATTTTAATAATATATATATATATATATATATATATATATTGTGTAGGTTCATGAATTCTCATCTCTAAAATAAAAAATAATTTAGAAACAAAATTTTATATATATATATTAAAAATATATATATTTAAAATATCTCAAAATATATTGGTTATATAAATATAAATATAAATTTAAAATTTATTAAATTTATATATTATGTAAAATTACTATGATATTAAATCAATATATTTTGATGGTTATATGTTATAAGTTGTGTGAAATCATGGGCAAATTAAAAAGACTAGATGAATTTTGTTTCTTTAAATTTTTATGTGAATAAATAAATTTTTAAGTTTATAAATTTTTTCATTAGTATGATATTTTGATATATAATTTATATTAGTAAAGATGCTAAAATATTTGATTAATAATTTTTTTTAAAATGACCCCCCAAAAAATTAATGTTGAGTTTTGCCGCTGTTAATGGAATTAATTTAATTATAAGAGATTACATGGATTAATAAGGATACATTTGGTAAAGCTTTATAAAAGTAATTTTAAAAAGTTCATTATAACCGCAAAGTAAATGTCAAACGGATTAAAAAAATCGGTGGGAATCATAATTTCAAACCAACCGCAAAATTTAGGATTTCTAGTTTTTTTCATTTTTCAACTTTACGTTTGAAAGCAAATTATAATTTTACCCTTGTTAATGCATAGACTCTACTCAATTATGCATTTATATTTAATTTTAATAATTTAATACAAACATCCTTAAAGAATAATTTATTAATTTTGATAATTTTATTTTAATTATTTAAAAATAAAAAATTTTATGATTTATATATTAAAATATTAATATTGAGTTATATAAAATATATTTTTATTATAATTATAGTTTTTATTTGTATTTTTATATTTTTATTATAGGTAAAATTGATATAATTCATATATAATAATATTTGTTTGAATTTATTATAATTTAAATCCTATAGTTTTTAATTTACAACATGATATTTATAAGGGACATTTATTTTTTCAAACTCATTTTTGACAACAATTTCAAACAATTAAATTTTAAATACACTCTTATACAACTTTTTTAAAAATTTATTTTTACGACACTTTTAAAAATCAATTTTTAAAAACTATAGTGGCGAGATGATTTCTGGATGACAATTCTAGCTCACACGACTTTTGACAATCGAACTAAAGAATTAATGAGATAAGATTTACTTTCTTATGTTATCTCTGATCATGAGCTCAACGAAAATAACACCTTGACATATCCTTACAACCCAATCATTAAAAAACTAATTAAGGATTATTGAAACCCAAATCAATTATATGTCTTAGGACCAAAGATGAATCCATGATGATTAGATATTGTAATGTAAAGACTTGGTTTATTATGATTTTTGGAAAGCAATAATCAAAGGACGCGATGGACCCAAGTTGGGAGTAATGACAGTGGGGGAGACAACTAGGAAGACTGCTTTTATGAGAAACCTTTTATGAGAAACCAATACCTGGTCGAAACATTAGAAGCACGAGATGAGGTAAGAAAATCATTTCATGTTTTTGAAACCCATAAAGGATTTTATCCTTTCATTTTTTTCATGTTGTATATTGAGTTGCTTGATTATGACCTTTGGGGTCTCGAATGAGCATTTGTGGACAGTACGGCTCCAACAGATATCTCTGATATCATCAGATCGATTTCTCGTTTAGTTTTTCTTGGCTTTCCACATTTTTTCTTAATACCATTCAACTTAAGCTTACATGAAGATTTTTCCCCCTCTCAAATTCAATTTTATTAATAAGTAAAACAGCACATCAACCATCTTGAATCTCCTGACAAGATAGAGAGCAACTTCAACCAGATAAAACTTACCTAACTTATAGACATAGTAGGCTATTTCATATTTTAAGGGGATGGACCAGTGGGGCAATTGATTGTTATCTCAATAAAGCTTATCACTTTGAGTTGAATCCAATATCCAGAGGGATATATATAGCCTTTTGGATGTCTTGAAGCATATCTGTATTGGAATCATATCTGTTTGTGGAATGGAAGAACATCTGGAACACCTTGACGCAAGATAAGTGGAGAAACTTGGAGGCTTTTGGCAATTCTCCCAATCCATCATCCACCAGAACATTTTGGAGAAACTCTCCCCACTTGTTCTCAAGAATTTCTCGAACATAGGTTGTCGAATCTTCGATGTCTGCTCCGGGTTCTCTCTCATGTACAGTAAAACATAGTTCATTTTCCCCTCTTCTTGTTCTTTCTGTCATTACCCGGTTGATTTTATCAATGATCTTGATTAAACATAAAGGAAGAACATCTGGTAGGTTCAATAATTTTCACCTGATAGCTCTGTATATCGTTGAGTAAACGAGGTATAAGCATTGACAATTTGGTAACAGTCTGGTATTCCCCTGCCCTAACTTTGGTGGCTGTTGGGCTTGGATTCAATAGCTATGAAGCTGGAAAACAATGGTGTGTAGAGCAATGGATACCATTCCAGTTACAAGGTATTCTTCCGTTGATGGAACAAATCCACCCATGCTCCACTTTGCCTCGCCTCCGCAAGCCATGAATTAAAGGTTCATACCACTTCATAGTAAAAAAAACAAAAGTTTAGTTTTTGTTTAGCTCAGGGAAAGAAATTAGTGAACCGCCGAATTGTTTAAACTTACAATCTGCTGAAGAAAACATGTGATATCTATTCCTTTCTGATGCTGAACTTTAGCTACAATTTCAGTGACGAGATCATCAAGGGCATTAAAGATGGTCTTACTGTGACCCACTCAATCCCTTAGCATCCCATCTGCAATGCGTTTCAATTGCATATCAGTGGATTGAAAATTAGCCTGTTAGTCTGTGATTGAAACTTACCTTGCAATTGCAGCGGTGAGGCTGTTCAGTTTCATCGAAGAAGCTTCAGTATCATAAAATCATCAGCAACGGTTATCACAACGGCACTTTTTGTTATTATAATCCTAACTTCAGAGTCATACGGCAACGGGATGCTTGAAGCAATGGCAAAGTAACAGTACGCAGTTCTTTCTCGCCAAACCCCATGTCGCTCATACCCCTGCTCTTGGACCACCTGTATATATAATTTATACAGAGTTATTTGGCTGGCTAGTCTTTTCTTTTTCTATAATTAAGATTGAATACTTAATCTTGTATTCTGATGATGGTGATATATTGCTGTGCTAAAAAAAAGATGATGATAATAAAAGAAGATGCACCGTGTCACATCCTCCAACTCATTCTGTATATTGACTGTCGAAACTCGTACTCAGCCACAGCAAGTTGCACTATCTTCTTATTTAACGGGTTGACAACCTGCTTTCAAAAGGTTTGATGTTTAATAATTTGACCATGAAGATACATTTCGTTTTCTTATCATTTTATTGATGTCAAGCTAAGCTGATATATATATATACCTGTGGGAGGAGGTTTTGCCTACCCACAAATGTTGGTATATGCTGTCTTCGATCCATGCTCTATGGTCAGACGATCCAGTCGAGCGATCCATGGAAATCTCAGTCATTTTCCATCTAGTACACGATTCACAAACAAGGAAATCAATTTTAGGTATATTAATATACCACAAATTGTCTCTTTATATAGCTTGTTCAATATGATGCGGGACAGGTTCGATTACCATTTTCTTCAGCCCGCTGCATCCAAAGCTAGTATCTTTCAACGCAATTTTCTCCAACACTTTCCTAGAAAATGATCTCGCCTGCTCGAGCTCATCTTCTCCTAGAAACTTAAGATCTGTGGCTCTGTAAACATTGAGCATGGTGATTGAGAAGTATTCTTGATTTTCTTCGATATGAGCTCGAACTTTGTCATTATTCAAGAACCAACATAATTGACCTGTTATGCAAAACATAAATATGTAATCATATTTATCTTATATGGTATGAAAGAAATCAAGACGAAGTTTTTTTTTTAATTGAATCGTACCCGGCGATATGGTATAGCCATGCATGCGGAGTAGTCGAAATGCTAAAGAATCTTTGTGCAACTGGATTGCCACATCCGCACCATTGCCTGACTTTCCTGGTGACTCTTGAGTTTTGTAATTCCTGAAAGTTTTAAACATAGATTGACATCAAAGGCTAGGATGTTAATTAATCGTGGGGAGCCTTTGGTTTTTATTAGAAGAATATTATGTTACGCTTATGAATTTTCTCACGTACCAGTAAATCTTGGCCAAATTGTCTTCAATTTCACGCGTAAAATGGTCAGCTAACCCCAGTCTTTGTAGTTGATTGACCAAACAAAGCCTTATTAGTCTTCATCCATGGGAAAAGTTGGTGGAACTGCATAAAAAAATTATTTTTTCCTTTTAAAATAATAATTTATGAAGCAATCGTGATCCATGTGATGTCATAGGATAGAAGTAAAATAAAATGAATTGAATTTTAATTTTAATTTTTTTAATAGCTTAGAATAAACCAAATGTAAATCCTTAAAAAATTAAATGCAAATTAAGGAGTGTATTGAGAGGCTTGAGGAGATTTCTTCCGATTCTTCTCTTCATGCTTATAGAGATGTCATTTCCCTTGTTGATGCTCTTTCTAAATCAGGGATTAAAAGCGTGGTTTGAGTTTCTCGAGGGTTGTTTATCTGGGTTGATGTTTCCTGTGGTCTTTCTATTAATGCTTCTTTTGCTGAGGAGTGTTTTTATAGTTGGTGTCTGAGCTTGCTGTTTTGTAAATAATAATAACTTTTGGGGAACTAGGCACATGCAGGACAAAAGTTGAAAGTTTAATTTGGCTGACCTCCATTACCACATCTTCCCACAACCATTTGCAGATAGGATAGACACATTTGATTTCCAGTAGCCATGAAAGCACGTGCAGCAGGGAGATTGGAACAATGAACCATCGCCACTCAAGTTCATGGTTATGTCTTCTTCACAAATATCGTAAGATGAAGGCAGTGCTTCAAGATATGATAGCAATGGAGGATACTATTTGCCAACAAGTCCATCGCTGCAACAAGTATCACGTATAATTATATAGCTAGCTACTGGTTAGATCTCAATACATGAAAAAAATTTAATTAAACATCAAGTGCAATTACGCATCAAGTAGGCTTTGCCGTTTGGAAATGTCGAACAACATGCCATTTAGTTGGGAAGGGAAGGCAAGCTCGATCCCAGCTTCACGTGCAAGTTTAATCATCCCCGGGAAAACAATGGTAAACCAGCGAGGAAGGTCGTCGTAGGTTTTTCCAAGGATTTTCTCAGCGTTTGCTTGAACAAAGTCCAGTCCTGATCACAGTTGCTCAAAATTATGACTAAAATCAATCAAAGAATGTAATTAAGGTACGTAGTAGAGAGATAATAATCCTCGCTTGATATTAGTTTGCTCCAACATTCCACCTGTGTAGTGCTATTAAGCAAGCAAGAGTAGCAGGAAGAGAGTCGATGGAGGGATCGCCATGGGCGCCCATACAGTCTCCCAGTACCCTTCGTCACTCTGGTTATTGGCCACCCATTCCAGGCATTCCTTAAACATGGAACATGTCTGGTCGGAAGGGATTGGAATCATGGCTAACCAGGCAGTGTCATAAGCAGAAGCTGAAACAAAAGAGTATGGGTCCTTGTCCGATAACATCTCTTCCTTTATCTCCTTCACTGAAGCTTCAATATTTGAAACCTTTGAACGCCCCATTTTAGGTTTAGTTAAAATCCAATTCAGTAATATTCTCAGACAGAAGAGATATTAGGAGTAAGTAGTGGTGCCAATTGGAAATCTATTTATGTAGGAAAGCTCCCGCACATGAAGGTTGTTGTTGCAACTTGCAACGTTATTCACGTGCACAGATATATGGTGCATTATTTTCTTTTGAAGTAGACAATAGACAAAATTCAACGCTGAATGACCAAATTATGCGTTTTCATGGGACAGAGACCAGCACACCTTCACTACCTTTGCTATTAGCCCCAACGTGTTTTACGTTGGCCGTATCTTTTCCTTGTACACTCATCTATAGTATAAACCCAACCCTTTAAAATTTGACAGCTGGCCCTACATTTATTTTTTTCATGTAAATTAAACATTTGGTAAATAAATTTTACTATCTCTCTTATTTTACTGTACTTTTAATTTTTTAATTTATTCACTGAATTTTATACATTAAATTTTTTTAACCAATTAATATTATATTATTTTTGTTGGCATATGACAATTGAAGTGGTCCAATTCATAATGCACGAAAATCAATGCGACGACCGATTAAATTTGCGGGAATATCATCAAGCCGTGTTCTTGAATCCCCAAACCGTCGCGCATTCCGTCATCGTCTTTTATTGATCCAATTATTTAAATAGGCCCGCTCCATTCTGTAGACTCAACCATGTTCCCTTTATTTGTTATAGCCCGCTCCATTCCAAAATTAATCTGCCCATTACACATAATTGGACAAGCCACATCTTTCTCCAAATGCCTTTAGTTTTTTTTTAAGTAACCCTTAGGTTTAATGTGTATTAGTTGGGTTAACTAATTGTTACTACTATCAAGGTTTTTGAATTTAAGGGTACGAAGAATTATACCTGATTTCCACGCTATATAAAATGCAAATAACATAAATGCTCCATTATTTTATAACAGAAAAATCCGAGTCCAATAGTATACCAATGGGCTTTATATGTATATACCATAAGACTATTTTAAATTATCAACACTTCTTTAATTGGAGTTATTTAATTATCTTATTGATTTATTTTTTATTTTGAATACTCCAGTTAATTCACTCATTTTGACAGGTGTTCGTAGTCACCCTATATATTTCATATTAAACATTGATAAATCATTTATCAATATATTATCATATTCTATTATTATTTAGAACATTATTAGTACTAATATTGTTTATTTTCACTATCTATAATAATGTGTTCGGTTAAATTTTTATCTTTACCTTTGTAATATTATAAAATCAATAGAATATTGAATTACATTTACAAAATTCTTTTGTTTTGTGGAGTATATAATGATTTATTTAGGACTACGGGGCGATAGCCCTCCTGAAATATTAAAATAATATATATATATTATATATATATATATGCTTTTTTTATTTTTAAATATATAAATTATTAAATTTGGTTGTTCTAAAAATATGTAAATTATTTTAAAATTTAAAAATTACCTAAATCATTTATTAAAAGTTAATATCTATTTTTGTATTATTATTTTATTTTAAAATAAATAAAAATATATTTTTGTTATTTTTTATTTTAAGATACGAAAGAAATTACTTGTATTTTTTTTATGTTTGGTTCTAAATCTTATTTGAGTTGAGGACTTCAATAAAGTTATCAATTATTTCATTTCATTTGAAGGTAGCTTTTTAAAATATTTTTAATTCAATTAATATTTATAATTTTATTTTAAATATATATATTTATTGTGTAGGTTCATGAATTCTCATCTCTAAAATAAAAAAGAATTAGACACAAATATTATATATATATATATATATATATCTCTAAATATCTTGATTATATAATATAAATTTAAAATTTACTAAATCTGTATATTATGTAAAATTATCATGAAATTAAAATAATATATTTTATGGTTATATATATAGTTGTGTGAAATTATGGGCAAACGAAAAAGACTAGACGAATTTTGTTTCTTTAAATTTTAATGAACAAATAATGTTAAAGTTTATAAAAAAATTTATTAGTATGATAATAATTTATATTAGTAATGATGCAAAAATATTTGATCAATATATAATTGTTTTTAAAATGACTCCCAAAAAAAATTATTGTTGAGTTTTGCTACTGTTAATGGCATTAATTTAATTATAATATATTACATGGATTACTAAATATGTGTTTGGTAAAGCTTTCTAAAAGTACTTTTAGTTAACAAGTTCATTTTGACCTCAAAATTAATGTCAAACAGATAAAATTAAAAAAAATTACGGTGCGAACCGTAGCTTTAGACTTGACAAATTTGACGCGAATCCGATTATCCTAAACGAGACTCGACATAGACCCGAAATTCAAAAAACCCAAATTGACCCGAATTTCAGCCAAACCAAAGTAACCCGAATCGAAAATAACCTAATCGAACCGAAACGACCCGAATATAACCGAAACCAAAAAAAGTAACCCAAACCAAAAGCAGCCGAACTGAAAATAACTTGAACCAAATTAACCTAAATTTAATTTTCCCAACTCAATTTCTTACAAAAATATATAAATAATTATATATACTTAATTTAACTTATACCCAACTCTTATACCCAACTCAACATGAATTAACTTAAAGATCCAAAGTTAACCCAAACCGAAAATAAATGATCAGATATTAATTGACCTGAAATTAACCGATCCGATTTGACCTGATCCGAAATGAACTGATCTAATATGACTCGAGACTGACTTACTATAGACCCGAATAAAACTGAAACATGAAATGACCCGATCCGACCCAAACCTGACCCGAATTAATTCTAAACGAAATGACCCGAAATAAACCCGATTCGAATAAACCAGTTTGCCATCTCTACATAGTTTCAAACCAACATCAAAAGCTAGGATTTCTAGCTTTTCATTTTCAACTTTGCGTTTAGAAATAATTATAATTTTACCCTTACTATTGCATGAGTTATACTCAATTATGTATTATATTTTATTTTAATTTAACTAACATCCTTAAAGAATATTTTGCTTTTGGAAATTTATTTTAATTATTTAAAAAATAAAATTTATGATTTATATATTAAAATATTAACAGTGAATTATATAAATATATTTTTATTGTATTTTATATTTTTGTTATAGTTTAAGTTGATATAATTCATATATAAGTGTAAATATAATTTAAACGCTATATTTTAATTTACAATAAGATCTATAAAAGACATTTTATCTTTTCAAACTCATTTTTTAACAACAATCTCAAACAATTAAATTTTAAACTACACTTATGTACAACACTCTTAAAAATTCGTTTCTATAACACTTTTAAAAGTCACTTTTCGATTGGTCGATGACCGTCAATGTTCTTTCCCTCTATTTTTTATTATATCTTTACTAATTTGTTGGGAACGATAAACCCTGATCACTCACCATTTCCTTAGTCTCTCTCTCTCTCTCTCCTTGTCTTCTTTTTTTTCTTTTTCTTTTTTTCTTTAAGTTTGTATCGTTTTTTATTGATCATATCAACTTTTTCTTCTTTGATTTTCTTTAGCCAGCGGTGTCACTGGCTTTGATGATAGTTGTCGACCGCCGGTTCTCTATTTTTTTCTTTTTTTTTAAATAAAAATAATTCTACATGTGTTGCACTTTTATCTTTGCCTTTGTGACACGTTATCTTTATCTTTGTGACACGTTATCTTTGTCTTTGTGGCACGTTTTTTTTCTCGATCTTTTTTCGTTCTTTTATTTATATTTTTTAGGGTTGGATTTGCTGACACCACGACTTATCAAGATGTCACTTTTTCGAAATCTTGTTGATCTTCCATGCTATGGACATTTGTATTGAATTTGGATATGTGATTTTGCATTTGTGGATAGTTTCTCATGACGCTCGACTATGATCTGCAGTTCTCGGTGGTCTTTCAATAGTTTAATTCTCTTTTATGATTCGTTTATTGATGCAATTAGATTTATTCATATATATTTTAGGGTTTTTAACATTTTTCATGTATGGTCCTTATATGATCTAAAGTTTCTAGTTTCAATGTTATAGGAAAAGTTCAAATTATATATTTAGTTTACGGTGATAGTTGTAAACTCTTATTGCAATTTCGAATATTTTATTTTTTAATAATATTAGCGGTTTCTACTAAAAATAAATAAAAGTCACTTTTTTAAAATTATATCAAACTGGCCCAGATGATTTGCTGGGTGACGATTCTAATTCATACGACTTTGACAATCTAATTAATGAATTAATGAGATATGCTTTACTTTCTTATGTTATCTTTAATCATGAGTTCAATTAGAATGGCATCTCGACATATCCTTACAACCCTATCATTAAAAAAAACTAATTAAGGATTATTGAAATCAATTATATGTATTAGGATAAGTGACGGATCCAAAAATTTAAAAATATAGTTAAAATTTTTTTCCTTTTTTCTCTATATAACGAGTATGCAAAAAAAAAAAGTTACAAAGAGGAAAATAAAGAAAGACATGACTAGTGTAAAATGAAACCCCTGGGGAATTGAACACCCCTGCAATCAACTTCGAGGAGGAACTTCACCTTGTCCGACGGTTGGGTAAAAATAACAAGATCTTCATCAATTTCACAACCCATTTTTGATATAATATCAGCACAAAAATTCCTTCGCGAAATTGGTGCTGGAATTAGACATTCCACTCCCGATCACGCTGACTACGAACATCTACTATAAGAGAGCCCGAGGGATGTATAGAAACATGACCTGTTGCAATCAAATAAATAGCCACAAGGGCATCCAGTTTACAAATAACATCCCGAAAATCGTTCTCCCAAGCAATTGTAAGACCGATTCGGATAGCATGGAGCTCAGCTGCAACACTCAAACAACATCCGAGATACGTCGAGAACCCTAAAATCCAATGGCCTCTTGCATCTCGAAAAATTCCACCAGCTCCAACAATTACATGATCGCCATTGCTCACTCCGTGATTGTTCATCTTAATCTTTCCCCTCGCCGATGATTCTCATGGCACAAGTCACTGCTGGACTAGCTTTCGTTCAGGTGGTGCGTAGGCCAAGCAAACTTCCCTCGAAGAATTCAGAATGGACTAGCTTTCGTCGAATCATGCGATTCGCTAGATTTTGAAGTATGCGACCAATTCGGTAACACACGAGTTTGGTTTCTAGCATAAACAATAGGGCCATCACCAACTCCATATAAAGCTTTCAAAGAACGAACCCAAAGGCTGTCAGGCTGCTGAAAAAAATCATCAAGCTGGTTTTTTAGGATAACATTGTTGTGTAACCTCATCGATCGGAGACCTAATCCACCATATCACTTCGGTTTGCAATACATTTCCCAGGAGACTAAATGCGACACTCTCTTTTCATCAGAACCTCCCCATAAAAATTTCGATTTAATCGATCTACGCTATCAGTTGTGACCACTGGAAGCTTAGAAGTCAACATAGTATACGTAGAATAGCAGATGTGACCGAATTGATCAAAGTGGTTTCCCCCGCAATGTTAAGAGCCTTCGATTTCCATCCGCTTAACTTCAGAGTCATTGTATCAATGATTTCATGATATGTGTTTCTAGTGACACGACCATGTATTAATGGTACTCCGAGATACTTTCCCAAATCCTTCATAGACCCCATGTGAAGGATCCGTCCCAAATCCTCTAGCTTTAGGATAAATTAAAATTTTGGACTTCTCATAGTTAACTTTGGCTCTGGAAGCACTGCAAAAATACTCGAGAACCTGCTTAATAACACGAGCTTGGCTCTCTGTAGCCTTCTAAAACATAAATCATCAGCAAAAAATAGATGTGAGATTCTCGTTCCACTCTTACCAAGCCTCACCGGTTTCCAGTTCCCGATGTCCACCCCCTGTTGAATCAAATGACCCAATTGTTCCATGCAAAGAACAAATAGATAGGGTGAAATAGGATCCCCCTGAAGAAGGCCTCTAGAAGGACTAAAGAATTCAGTTTTCTCGCCATTCTATAGAATCGAGAACTTCGTGCTTTGAGCACAAAACAACAAAAGATCCACCCAAAGGCGTGGAAAGCCAAAGAACACGAGTCTCCTCAAGGAAATCCCAACAAACTCTGTCGTACCTTCTCAAGATCGATATTATCGCAACAAGATCGTTCTTCCCCTTACACCTTCTCACTCTATAAATCATCTCCTGACCAAGAAGGATGTTATCCGAAACTTGACGACCTGGAATAAAGTTTGTCTGAAAGGGAGGCACCAAGCTGTCTAAGTACAGGTGAATCCGATTTACCAAAACTTTGGTAATTAATTTGTAAACAATATTACATAGGGTAATAGGCCTAAAATACTTTATCGATTCTGGATGAGTGACTTCCGTAATTAGACAAATAAAAGTCTCATTAAGCTCTGCAGGAAAGGAGCCCGATTCTGACACATAATTTACCACTGAACACAAAGACGGGCAGAAAGTTGTCCATAAGGTTTGATACACACCGCCTGGAAACCATCAATTCCCAGGGATTTCCAAGGTTTCATCATAAACAAAGCTCGATGGACTTCCGACTCTATTACCGCACTTGACATTAACTAACAAGCTTCATCACTTAGCCTTGGACAGTTAAACACAGGGATAGAAACGTTGCTAGAGGACTCATCTTGAAACAACTCCCGAAAGTAGTTAAATACCATGCCTTGCAACAAGCCATCATCCTAGATCCAATTCCCATTGCAATCTTTTAACATCGCAATCTTGTTTCATCGTTGCCGAGTCACCGTGGAAAGATATAAAAAGTGAGTGTTACGATCACCATAATGCTACCACTGTACTCTAGATTTATTAGCCTTAAAGATTTCTTCTTGACGAAGCAGGGCATTATAATCATTTATCAGCTTATTCTCAAGTAAATCTAATTGATGAGAGCGCTGGTTTACGGGAATACATTGAAGTCCAGCAATACGGGCTCTTAAGTTCTTTTTCGGCCAAACAAGTTTCCAAAATGGCGTCAATTCCATCCCATAAGATCTGTAGCAAAAGCCTTTGTTTTAGCAACAAAGCCGTCACCCAAAGAACATCAACCAAGTTGGCATGGTCCCAAAACCCTCCTTTTCTAACAACATCGCTTGAAAATGGAAATGTCACTTTGATCTATCGATACATTACTGTGATACATTGGATGACAAAGAGGCAATGATCCGAATGGAGTCTAGGTAAGTGCAAAACAAGCACTTCGGGGAACAAAGCACGCCAACCTGCATTAGCCATAACCCTATCCAACCGAGCATGAATCCGAACAATACCATATCTCATATTCCACCAAGTGAACGACTGTCCCTGAAAGCCTAATTCCATAAGATTACACTGTCGAATTAGTTCATAAAAATTGTGACAACGAGAAAGAGAATGAGGACTTCCACCACTCTTCTCCGATGAGTCAAGAATATCATTAAAGTCACCTGCAATAATCCAAGGGAGGCTAGACGTGCCTGCAAATTCCTCAAGATTATCCAGAGTCGTCTCCTGATTTCGAGAACTGGACTCGTATAAACTATAGAAGAAGAAAAGGTTCTATATCTACACCCTACACAACACAATGGACAAGTTGTGTGGAGGAAGATATAACATTAACAGAAATAACTGAATCATCCCAAGCAATCCAGATACAACTAGAGAAACCATCAAGATACACAATAAAACAATTATCAAACGGGAGGTTATTAGCAACAACCCTCGTATGTCGTCCTGCAATTCTCAGTTCAACCATAATAAAAATGCTCGGCTTATGTATGCTAATGACATCCTTAGCATTATACAAAAACGACTTTTCCCCCGCTCCCCTGTAATTCTATACAATAATATTCATTGGGCAATGGGATAGAAAGACTCAAGTTGAAACTGCCCACTTGAGAGAGTACGACCATTATCATCAGACGAAATAATTTCCTGTGGAGTCCCCTCAACAATAAAAGACCCATTTGTTTCAACACTGCTGTCCAAGAGGTGAGGGAAGTGTTTCAAGTGGCTCTAAAATTCTGGAGTCCTCGGCAGCAGACGTAACATTGGCCACTTCTACCATTACTTCATCACCATTCGAAAAAGGAGCATGGGGGACCCTACCAACTACCCAAGCAGTACATAGATTTTCATTATTTACTGTTGAGGGAGTTGCATACATGGATAACGTAGCCGACGTAACGGGGACCACTTGCTTTGTAGGTTGACTTTTGGAAGATTTAAGTGGGGGCTTTGTTTTACCAACAGCGATATTTTCACGCCTGCCATGTGGGACCTATCTCATTGCCTTAATATTCTCTTTGCCATTCGGGAGGTGCAATCTTGAGGAATCGATACAAATTTATTTTGTTTCATTCTACTAAGATATCAACTAATGGGGATGTAGACACTAATTTTTCACTTTCATTAAAATTAAAATTATTATTTTTATTATTATTATTAATATATATATATTATTATTATTATTATTATATAAATAAATTACAAAATTGGAGCCCGTTTATATGCCCAGACCCAACTCTAGCCCAACAGTGACCAGTCCAGATCCAGAAACCCACAGGAAACCCTAAACCCAATTTAGGGTTTGTTTCATCATCCCAGCAGCCAGCCGCCTCAGCTCACAGTCGTTGGATCTAGCTTTGATCCAACGACCCAGATGGTTCCAGGAAAGGAAGCCCTAGGGTTTCCTAACCCTAGGTTATCATCCAAACCGCCTCAGCCAGCGCTACCACCGCCTTAGATGAACAATAAACAACTGTTACCTATGATTCCAGATGATCCATTCCAGCAGCAGCCACGAAGCCACCCTCTTCGAAGACTCCAAAAACACCACGCCGACCGTCCACGTCGCAGCTATGGGGCGAGTCACCAGGGCGAGTCACCACATAGTTTGGTGACTCACCAGATAAACCCCTTTGGACTGGTCTGATGAGAGCCTCGTCGAGGCTTATAAAAGCCATGGAGAACCTGCAAAAAAAAAAAAGACAGAGAGGAAGAGAGGAGATAGAAACCAGAAAGGAGGAGACAAGCAAGACACACAGACAGAAAGCAACGAAAAATAACCGAGAAGAGTGAGAGACTTACCAAGCGGCGTCGGAACCAAACGTCGTCAAACCGCCGTTTAATCGAAGGTAAAAAAACCTCGGTTTATTTTAGATATAGGGTTATCAGGAAAAACGGGGCTTGGATTTAGGACAAGGGAAAATCGGGCTTCGATTTGGAGTGGATTTTGTAATTTTCGGCCACCGTGAACGGTGGTCGGCGGCGCCAATCGGCCGGAACACGGTTATCGGCCGGAAACCGGAATCCCTCCGATGAAGAGATAAGACAGAGGGAAAATTTTTTCTCTCGTTTAGAGAGAGAAGGAAAAGAGGAAAATGAGAACCATTGGCCTTTAGGGCCGATTTTTAGGGTATAAATACCCTCATCAAAACGGCGTCGTTTTGATGAGGGTGTTTCTGTAATTTCTCACAGGGGTAAACCCCATCCGCAGTACTCCAAGTTTGTGCACTTTGCAATTTAGTCACTGAAGTTAACTTTTAATCATTTCAATTTAGTTTTTAAATTTTATTTTAATATATTTTAGCCATTAACTGTATTTATATACATTTAGGGTAAATAACCGATTTAGTCCCTTATTATTTAATTAATATTTATTTTAATCCCGTATAATTATATAGGTTAAATTACATTGTTAATATTTATGTTTTATAATATTTCGAATTGGAGCTTTTAATTTTAATAATCGATATTTTAATCATTGATTAAATAAGGGTTAAATTACTATTATTAATTATATTTCAAGTTATTTCATTAATTTAGATAATTTATATTTTAATACTATAGTTTTTTTATTTCATTTATTTTTTATTTATTTACAATGTTATTTATTATTACTTTTAATATATATGTAAATTATTACCTTCATTATTAATTTTATATAAATATATGTATATATATATATATATATGGTTTAAATAATAATATTTATTTATTTTAATATCAAAGAAAATGGCAGTCTTAAACAACTAGATGTCCTATTCTAATCTTTTAAAAAAATAAATATCTTACTTATAAAAACCAGAAAACACATATTGTTTTATTAGAGAAAATTATTATTTTTTAAATATTAAGAAAGACAGTCTTAAAGCAACTGGATGTCCATTTTCTGATATTTTTAAATATTTTACTTTTATCAATTATATATATTAGTAGAAATGTTTTGTTAATATTTATTTATTTTTTTAATATTAAGAAATTCTTAAAGCACCTAGAAGCCATTTTCTAATATTTATAAATAAATAATATCTTATTTTCTTAAAATTATAAATTTGAAATAACCGAATTATAAATTAATATTCTGAATTCTTAAATTTCTAACAATAGAGACAATTTATAATTAATAAAGTACCAATTTTGGGCGTTGTAGGGTGCTAATCATTCCCTAAACGTAACCGACCACGAATCCTTTTTATTTCTAAAAAATGAATTTTTGGTTAAACGCAGATCAGTTTATCTTTTAATAGACGTTTTCTTAAAAACTTTTTTAAAAGATAATTTTTAGGTATTCGACCTACCGACTCAAAAAGGCCGATGGCGACTCCCAAAAAATATTTTAAAACCATTTATTCACATCACTTTTCCCGCCGAGTAAAATTTTCGTGCCCGGGGAAAACCGGTTACGACAGCTTGGCGACTCTGCTGGGGACTGTAAACTTTAAAATTAATTATAAATTACTCTATTAATAGAAATTAAAATTCATTTATTTAATTTTTAATTCTTTTCTTTCAAATTTTTATGATTTTCATAATATTTTTATATTTTTATTTTTACTTTATTTTCAGATATTAATTTTTTATTTAATTATTTGTCAAAGGTTTGAATATTTCTCCTCACACACAACACTTGCATTGCATAACATAAGCTTCTAATCAAGCTTGTCCCTTTTAAGTGGGAGTGAAAGCGTCTTCGTGAGAATTTATTCTCCGTGTTAGACCTAGCAAGTAACTTTCGGGGTTCATATGCTCTATGTCTTCGTGAGAATTTATTCTCCGTGTCAGGCATAGAGAAAATGTATCCCCTCGAATTGAACTCGATCCGTTAAGTCTGTAATGGACTAGGATTGAGGATTTGACAGCCCAAGGGGGCATCAAGGACAATTCGAGTACCTTTACTCCTAGAACTGAAACTCTGCATATAATAAACCCTAGAAATTCACCTGATCTAAGGCAGTACTGAACCTCTGTTTATAGGTGTACACAAAGGAGAATAAGCTCTATCTTTAATTTATTTAATTTATTATTTTTCTCTCTGAATAAATGCCTGCGAACTAGTAATCATGATGTTAGGTTAATTTTTCCAAACAAAGCATGGAACTAGAAAGCACGAGGTTAGATATATTATATCCATGATAGGTAGAATATTTTCTTTCATTAATTGGTACTTACCAATTTATTTATTTCCTTTCTTATTTTTTTTTCATACATTTTGTTTTGTTTTAACTTGTTTATATTGATTTCTTTTGTTTTGTGCATGCATTACATGTCATGGCATAACCAAAAGGTGTTGACTTGAAAGACTGTTCATCAAATTGGAAAGAAATCGTAAATGGACAAAAGTTTTATGATCAAACAAAATATGATGCGGTCAAGGAAAGACATCCTGAGGAAACTCCGAGGATAGAAGCAAGCAATGCATACAGAGATCCTGTTATATTACTCCACAAAGATCATGCCAGATTGATGCCAAAAGCAGTCTATGGTAAGAGTATCAGTCAGGGCATTCAGAGTAGAGGAGGTTTTTATTAAGCTCAAGCATGTTTGAAGGACTTGAATGACCAAAACAAGAAATTGAGCACAGAAGTGGAAACCATGCATGAAATTTCCAAAAGATCAGTCAAGCTTTCAAAATGCTGGCATAGGAGATACCCTAGAAGAGTGGATAACAGGGGTTACCAATCTGAAAAAGAACTGCAACATATATGAAGATCTAATCCAAGAACTTCTTGGACAGAAAGGTTCTCTTACAAGGGAAAATGAGCAACTTCAAGAACTGATACAAAAGATGAAGAGAATAACGTGGAAAAAGCTGCAATCCAGACAAGCAATATGGCCCATAAGCTGATAAACTAACTTGGCTTTCAAGAAGAAAATAGGAAAGTTATCTCCTATATGTAAAGGTTTTAGGATTGAAAGTTGTCCTCTATATGTAAAATTTTGTTTGATGCAAGGAAACTTTTGTGTTCAACGAAATCTGTTCTAAGATGATCATTCTTGAGTAACACCTTTTCATACATGCATTTGCATTTTTGCATCTTTACATTTTCATTTATACTTTTATGTTTGCTTTTGTATTGCACAATTTGCATTTTTATATTTACATTCACATATTTACATTTGCATTTACATTTAGCATTTTTTTTCATTTTTACGTTTATATTTATATTTTCATTTTTGCATTTGCATATTTGCATAATTACATTTTATTTCAAATTATTCTACATGCATTTAATCATGACAACGTGGAATAATTCGTGGAGAATTCCATGACAGAATCAAAGTGGAGTTAACTTGGTCTTCTTAAAGAAGGATAATAGCCATGAATGAGATTTTAGCAAGGGTTGGTAGAATAGAAACTACAAGAGCAATTTATCGAGACACAACAAAAGATGACTGATCAAGTGAAAAAATTCCAGAATGATTCAAAGGAACAAGACAAATTGATGGACCTGTTGAATATTGTAATCCATAGAGAGAAACCTTTAGAGAATCCTGTTGTGAAAGATTTGAATGAGATTATAAATGATGTAGCTGATACAATGGAAACAAATGACCAAGACTTTGTCGGGGAATATGGAAATTTGATAAATCTCCAAAAATCGGTATGACCCCAGAAAATGAGACAAATATCAGTTGAAGAGAAGCGTGGAAGAAATTTAGTACCATTGAAGAAAGCTAAACAAAGCAAACAGTCACAAGGTCTTCAAGAAATCAGAGTAAATTGTAATGTGACAGTGATGTCAGGGGAAATTCTACCCAAGTTTCCTTCAGTTTCATGCAACAAGTTATATCTTGAGTTACTCAAAGCCCAGATTATTACTCCATATCGAGCTAAGCCTTTGTTGCTTCCATACCCGAGTTGGTATAATAAAACTCTCTTGTGATTATCACGCTAGAGCCCAAGGACACTCCATTGAAAAGTGTGGTCGCTTCAAACAACGAGTTCAAGACCTTTTGGTTCAGGGAATCATAGAATTGGATGACCAGTCTGTTTTGGTCAAACAATCGAGAATTAAACATCAAATGGAGTTGGTAGTATCAAAACAAGTAAAGTACATGCCGCAGAAAATGAAGAAAACAAAGTACTTGAGCAAAGATAAAACGTTCAATTCTCAATACTTCTCTGATTATAAATGATAAAAAAGTAAAATGAGAGGTAATTCGAGATGGCCCATAGGTTTAAGAATGAATGGGAAAGATGAAACTCTAAGAAACCTCAAACGCATGTATCAAATTTTCTGAAGACCAGTGAAAAGAGTCTGGATACAAAGAGTCTGGTGAATATTACTCCAATTACAGCCACAATATGTGTTCAGAATCAGGACAAGGCTATCATCCTTAGTAAAAGTTGTTCTGAATCAAAAAATGAGCTCAATTACCAGCCAGAGAAGAAAATGATGATGGAGACTGCTCAGAATAAAGTAAAGAGTTATGTATCTGAAGGCTTACCCAAAGAAGTTGACACAAAAGATGATCAAGAAATGGGGGGCAAATGAGGAAATCTTGGGCCAATTACACACCAACATTATTGGAATGATGGGGTAGGTTAAATAAACAAGTGGAAGTTGTTATCTACCACTGAAGTATTTTTCTATTTTCAGCATCCTGTTTAAACTTGTTTTTGTTCCTTTCTCCGCCTTTTGTGCAATAATAAATTTGTGTTGCTTATTAAGGTTATGAGCATTGAGTAATTTTGCAATCTTGTAGTTCTTTGAATATCAACTGGATTAAAAAGCTCTTCATGATTAGAGTTATAATCTTTGACAGGATATCAAGATTGAAAACCAGAAAACAAGGACCATTGACCTTACCTCAGAAGAAATACACCCAAACACTATCCTATTACAAATATGAGATATCCTACTCCTATTGAAAGAAATTACAAAAAGGCTTGGTATTATATATAGGAGCGTACAACATGGGGCATCGTTGATGTATTACATTACAAAACCAATTAGAATATTTTCTATTGATGATGTTCGATGATGAACATATTTTTTTTACAAATAGGTAAATCTAGTTTAAGTTGCTTGGGAATTGAACTCTAACGAAGAGATTTTCTGAATTCCACCAAACACCTAGACTATAACAGGTTTTCTTAACAAGCTTAAGAATTGGATTTGAATACCCATGTTATATTATTATATACAATAAAGCTTGAGTTGTCCCACTAGAGCAAATGGTTAATTGCCCCGGCTTTATGGATAATATTCAGCTAATCTATTTATACTATTATGCAATAAACTGTCCCTCTAGAGCAATTGGTTAATCACCCCGACTTTATGGATAAGTTTTAATTAACCTGATAAAGGTGATTATAATATTATATACAATAAAGCTGAATTTAGCTAGCCAAAATGGCAAATGTGTTAACAAATGGACTAAGGGAGTTACGAAACACCTGTTATAGTAAACTTCACACAAGCACTCAAAATTTCATTTTTAGACCGATATTTTGCACTACTTTGATTAGATGAGTCTAAATGAAAAATTCCAGAGAATTGAAATGGAAGGACTCTAGAAGGTCTAGTAATTGGCAATCCTAGTTGCGTCATTTTGTACGTATCCGGTTAAAATACCAAATCCTCAAAGTGAGGCAGTGAAAAAGTTCACAAAGAGCAATATATGAGTGACATCTTAAATAGATGTAACCATAGAAAATAGGAAAGCCATCCTGAAACCAACCAAATCTTGATACTTGTCAAAGAACTATAATTCTCAAACATTAAAGAATTATTGATTCTTTTTATATTCTTTGAATTCATGCTTATGATTTGATTTATTGTGAACCTGTGATAGGCAACATTTTACAAAATTCTTTCATTCTTTGATGAAGAAAGAGAAAAACATTTTCAAACAAGACAGACTCAAATGAGGAATGTCCTTAAAGTAATTGTTGCCTATTCTATTCTATTGTAGAAAAAGAAAGCAAGGCCAGAATGATGAAGCATTTCACTTTCTTGAAAGTAAGTGGTCCAAGAAGCCAGAAAGTCTGGAGAATTGAACTTGTGATGCTCTCATATGACATCATTAGCAATTTATCAAGAAAGGTTATCGTTTATCTCATGCTGAGGGTGATAAGCATCACCAGATTATTTTCCCCAACCATCAATTCATGTTTCTAGAAGATTACATCATAGAGCCATGAACAAGTCACTACCTGCACTCTGGTTATACCGTGATGCTGGCTCAAGTCTTGATACATCATTGCTACTTCTTCTATGTCGATCATTTTCTTTGTCAAGATGATATCCATTATGTCCTTCAGAAGATTGCTGAATTTGAATTTGAGGACTTATGGCACAGAATAAGACATTGGAACAGAATCTACCCTTATAGGCCTTTTATATAGGGTAACATTGGTTACATGATTACAAAAGTTGAAGATGACCAATTTTACTGTCAACTAAACGTTCCATGATTCGAAAAGAGTGGGATATATTGGAGCAGCAGAAGAGACAGTTGTCGTAGCAGTCATTGCAAGAAAATGCACCAACAAAAATCTTCT